CTTATATTAAATATACAATCTCTGAAAAGAAGTCTTTATATCTTTTGCAGTGCATCCCAAGTTATGTTCTGAGGATTTTAGATTTTAACAGGAAAACAAGACAAAAATACTCATTAAGAATATGATTTTTTTTAACACTCACCGGTAAATAAGTAACAATTTCAAATCAAGTAATTTTTAGTAACTATTTTTAAAAATAATTTTAAATATAACAAAAAATCATTTTAAATAATTTTTTTTTTTTTTTACATTTTAGCAATTCTAGTGATAACTTTTCAGAATCTGCATTGGTTTTAAGGATGTAAACATGACAAAATGTCCTAATGGAGCTGAAAACACTGCATTCTTTTCAGTAGCTACCTGAAATCATAATAAAATCAATCAAATTATTTTTAACGCCACTGGTTATCCATGAACTGTACATTCCTGTGTGTCTCAAACACACCTCTGATGACTCTGATGAGTCCAGTGGAACATTTAGACAGGCAGCGCTTAAATCCACTCATGTGGGAAGAATTCTGCTGTAACTATGAGTTCTGGAACATCCAAGGCCATCAGGAAAACAATCAGCGCTGTGTCTCAGGCCAGACGCCCTGCCAAGGAGGGAGAGGGGGCGGGGGAGGGGGGCATTGAAAACCAGGTCGAAGGAAATACTGAAAGAAAAGGCCAACAGGGAGGGGGAAACGTCCGAGCGTTTTCATCTAAATCACCTCATAACAGCAGGCAAGCACATGGCAAAGCCTCACTTTGATCGAAGCCCGCCCGTCGCTCCATGATAGTAATTGAGAACAGAAAGGCCAATACTCTAAAAATGACACAATAATGAGTCAAAAGACTATGGAGATAGAATTGTTGCTTAATTCCAAATAAATAGATTACGATCCATAAATAAATGTAAAAAGATTAACAAACATTAAACATATTGACAAATAAATAGAATGACATTCACAAATAAATTTTCACAAACATGAATTAAATTCACAAATAAATAAAATGAGATTTGCGAATAAAAAAAAAAACATATTCACAAATATATATTTATGTCACAACCACAACTTTGCCTGGCATTTATTTGTGAATCGCGTCCTGTGCATTTGTAGATAGCTGTACGCATTTATGAATAGCGTCCTGTGCATTTGCGAATTGTGAAACATTTCTTC